ATGAGACGTCTCTAGAATAGGAGAGCCATGTACAAGGAAAAAAAAAAGAAAACGAGAGAGAGCGTAAACAGAAACCCCAGAAACCTTCAAATAACAATGACAAACACGAAAATGTGCCTGTTCACTGAAGTGGGAAATAAAAAAGAAGGGAAAGGATGAGAAAAGGTGGAAAATAAGGAGGAGGGGGGGTTCCGGAGAGATCACGGTACGGTAGACACGGGGTAGATTAGGTCCGCATGCACTTCAGGGCTATGAAATTGAATGAAATTGAAACAAATTGAATCCAATAGAATCATATGAGGAAATAGTCAAATATTTAGAGGAAAAGAGGAAAATCCTGTCATTTCTTAACTAGGCAACTAATTATGCTTATGCGTCTCTTTGCATGATACAGGAGTACAACGTAATCTTTTTTACTTCTACAATTTATGCCCAGGTGTATTACTATTGACTTACAACCCCATTTTATTTTTTTACTGTTTACTATTTTATATATATATATATATCTGTATATATACTGTATACTGGTTTTTCTACTAGTATCTACGGAGTATTTCACTTGAATATTTAAATATTGTGACCTCCTGAAGTCGTTCATAAAAGGGGGGCCCGACCTCCAAATTTATGTGCCAATCATAGGTCTTTCCCCTTAATGCTCCGCTCTATCTTGATATTCTTAGGCATCTCCAAAGCCACTTCCATTGCGAGCTAATATTCCGTATTCCGTACTGCATATTTCAAAAACTATACAAAGTACTTTGTACATAGTACGGAGTAAAATATCTACATATGTAGTATTTTATACACTTATTAAGATACTGCATAGTACTTACTATGTCACTCGGTAACTCGGTACCTTACCACGTCCCTGTCAAACTGAAATCCGACGCAAGGCTTCTGCAGAGAACGCGGGCGAAGGAATTAGCGAGCTACCTAAGTAGATAGCTGGGAGAGGGGATCCGATCGGCCACCGCGTCCCGCGATTTGCGCCTACAAAGTACACTAAGGTAAGTGTGACGCTATCTCGGCTTTTCCTCGAATCCACATGTATGTTCGGCGAAACATAAAAAAAAGTAGGCTTATTTATCTAAAGTATGCATGCGAACTTCCGAAGTACCATTGTGCATATACATGTATTTCACAAATCAAGATAGAGACCTCCCCGCTTAAAAGAGCTTAAAAGTCGGAGCTGTTTCCATGGTTGTAATGGTCCACTCAACCTTTGATATTTTTGTTTTCCATGGATATGTCCACGGGGTAGTCAAGGTACCTAATCTCCAAGATTTACCTAAATTTCACCTACTTTGTCTTATATTATTACACCCTAAAATCTGAGACATTGTTTAAGGTCACACCGTATGAGGCTGAACTATTCTGTATCTTTCTTATGCTCCAAGATTGGAACCGGGGAGTTTATTTCGGTTGCTATTGCGTAATTCACTATATATCCTATTCATCCCATCTTTAGGGTTCCATGAGGGTTATACTATGTATCGACTTCTGAACGGGTAACATGTACTGTATGATCAAGCTCTAGAATGACCACTATTTTGAGGGAGTTCGTGTTATCATGCGGGGTCCAGCTTATTGGCCCTGCACTCTAGGGCTGAATCTAAAAGGATAAAAGTCCCTAGAGATACTACTTGCATCGTATGTATCATATGCTTCTGGGATGTTCATGAGCTTACTATGTACTCTGTACAGAGTATACGACAATGTGCTTACATACAAATTCTTATCTTTGGCTAATATTCTGTTCATACATACAAAGTACAATCCGAAACGTCAAAAATTGTCCCGCTTTCCTCCACTTTCTTACTGCAAACCACTCAATCCGTCGATCCACATAACACCAAACTTCCCGCGTGATCGGCATACGCCAAATGTCCATATTCGCGATATACAACATACTCACTTTTTGCTATAATTTAGATCATTTGTCAACTCCGTACTCTGTACAAAATATGTACTTTGTACTTACTTTGTGCACTTGTGGAGAATACCAAGACATATATATCCCTTTTTCTATAGAGGTTGGCACCAAGTTTTTTCAGACTTGGAATTAGCGTACTTTTTTTTTTATTAGATTACACACTGAGGGGAAGGGCGCGCGTTTGATACCGCAAATCATTGAGGATTAAGCATCCGTACGCCCCCGTTTCATTTCCCTCAGGGCCTCTGTGCACTGGAATCTAATCTCCCATCTCCTATTCAACGGGGCAGCCCTCAATCATATGCACGGTGCTTTGTGGCTGATCAGGGGTAGCAATTTGGGTATAGGCCAAGAGCCACCGTCGCCAAAAGAAATGCGGAGACATGAAAATTTTTTAAAACTGGATTTCATTATCCCTCAGATAATCGAGTCTTTGTTTCTCACCGGACAGTATTCGTGTTGATGGCATCGCATTCAAATCCCGAGAATCCACGCTATGGCCTGATGTCTGATGTGAAAGATACTTCCAAAGTGCTCATTCGTGCGGAGAATAGTTCATGCAATGTGTCAATTACTAATATCTCCACTGCCAAGATAACGTCCCAAAAGGTCCCGAGGTCCCGTTGCACTTTGCACTAAAATTTTAGTATGCATCCGGGGAAGCACGAAGTGGAGGCAGATTGGCCATTGGCATTAAACACTATATTGTATGGTATTTATGAACCTCTTAGCCTATCTCGCTCGGATCCCGATTATTGTGTCATTTAGAGTGCTTGTTTAGAGTGCCTCCAGGGCTGTTTAGAGTGTATCTCTGGGCTTGCCAACTTTCATAACTTGGGAGGGGTATAAAATTCTATTTTTTTGATCTTGATCTCATGGATATTATCTCATAAACGTCTAGGATAAATATACTTCGGATCAATAATCTTGATCATTCTCCGAAGCATCCATATCATCTTCATCGTCAATACCCTCAAAGATCATGAACTTCTCGTTTTTGGCATCGGTTTCATCAGGAACAACGTTTCCGTCTTGAACCTCACAATCTTTCAGCACGGTTTCCCGGCCAATCTTACTGCGGCGTCCAACAATAGTACCCGTTAATTGGCAGCGTTCGCCAACAACAGCGCCATCCATGATCAAACAACGAGTCAACCGAGCACCGCTGGCGATATGGCAATTAGCACCGATGATGGTCTCCTTGATCACACACTTCTCCTCCACCGTCGTGTTATTGTCCACTAGACAGTCGTTCCTCGTGACAGTGCAACGCTGCGCAATGCTAGCTGTGTTTGCCACCTTGGAGGCATGCGCGAATGCCGACGAAGCAACTCGGCCAACCTCTTCAATGGATTCTAGCTTAGCAAGACGGAGAGAGGTAGAGAGAAGGACGGCGGATGAATCGACACGTCGAACAAAAGGCGCTGTGCCCTTTTGCACGTAAGCGAGCATCGGTGGTAGATTTGACTTGGAACTCTTGTCAGTGTGCGAGGAGGGAGCCGTGACACGAGACGCAAATTGGGGGTCTGATGCGGCTGTGCTGAACTTGGCTGGGGTGGCTTTGGTGGTGCTCATGCTCTGTAGATCAATCTCTTCCTCCAGCGATTGACCATCGAGGGATTCACCGTCGTGGCTTTCGATCTCACCTAGAGTGAGACCGTTGCTCTGGCGACGGCTTTTCTGCTGAAATATTTCGTTGATCTTCAGCTTGTCGCTGAGCCCTTGCTGCCATTCCGACTTGGCCCACCATCCCACCAAGTCTTCACCAACCGATTGGAATTGCTCATTCAGACGAGCCATATCCTTGACCCAGTAAGGTAGGACGTAGATATGCGCATCGCGGTATGTCGTTAGCAACTTCACCTGCGCATGCGTATCTACCAGGGAGTGGCGCACAAGGAAGCCCTTGTCATTTTCCAATTTCTCCTTCAATGTCGCCATAGGCATTGAGAGGACGAGCTTGGAGAGCGACGAACGAGGCGCCGCATGAGACACAGTTGGAGCCTCGTTCTGCTCAAGTGGTGCAACTGCCAAAAAGTCTGTAGCTTCGCCCTTGACACTCTCCTCCCGACCCTGTGTCTGATAATACATGCTGAGTCCATTCCGACGATTTTGCTCGCCGCCACATACCATCCATGCTTCGAGCAGAGACTCTCCGGGTATTTCGCAAACTAGATCACAAGGCAAGAGGAGGAAATCGGATTTGATACAAGTTTGCACCTCGGGCAGACGGAGGAGCTCTGCTGTACCAGTCGTCATCTCAAGGTCCGCCGGTGCGATGACTGAGGGCGAAGGGAGGGAGGTAAGATGTGGGTTCTGTCGTAGAGCAGCCTGGAGAGGAGCGAGTGAAGAGGGAGGAGTGACCAAGGTGACATCTAGCATAGTCAGTCTTCCATCCGATGTTTTGCGATAGGGCACATGGCGTCATGGGATGCCCCGCATGCTTTTTCGAAGGTGGGAGTGAGCTTACCAGTGATGCCCATCCTTTTCGACCAGTCTAGGGCGTACCAGAGCATCGGACGGTTGGCTACAGGGATGAGACATTTTGGGTACTCCTCGGGGTTCGAAGTGAATGTGTTGAGCGATACACCAGGGCCACACTTGATTGCTCGTTAGCTTTTTTTGAGAAAAATATACGGAAGTTAGTTGCTCACAAGAATTAGGGCTTGGAGGCCCGTTGGGGGCACAGGTACTGAGTGAGGCATGTTTTAAACTAACAATGCGCTTGCGAGTCCTCACGCCTAGTCATATATTTCTCTAAACCGATAAGCCCTGCTTCAGAGGAGTCAGAAAAACCACTTACATAAGCCCATTGGAGAGTATCACGTGATAATGACCCGCCTCCAGATTGAGCAAGACGCAAACAGTACAAACACAAGTAAACACCCGCGGCAATGACCAGCCACATGTTTCTAGTATCCGAGGAGAGACGTCTGCCTCCTTTCCCTTGTTCCCCTTTTCCCAACCTCTTATTTTGCAAGTCGACGTATGAAATGCAACCTGCGAGTCATTGCGACCGCAATTAATAACCGTTAAATGTGCCTTTAATTGAATACACGCGATCGCAATGTCCTTCCCTCAAGACCCTCGGCGCCGCCGGGGCGGAGCCGGCACTGGCTTCAGCTCAACTGGCGGACGAACTGCCATTGGATATTGGCTCCCCTTAGCCTTGACTGCTGGAATTGCGACTATTAGCATTGCAGCTTGGATTTGGAGTGAACGAAATGACGACGAAGACGAAGACGACCGCCCCCATGGAGATGGCCCTTACCCGCCTCCTGTTCGACCTGGAAGTGATCACCACCCCCCACCTTCCTATGCCACCGGAGATTATGCCCGAAGTGCAGGAGCGGAAGCCCTGCCTGGAGATGCTTCCTATGATCATAGTATGATGGCTCGTATGCAAGGTGCCTTGCGCCGCACGCCTAGCCCTCAACAGATCTTCGATGGCGCCAGCAAAAGAGTTGTGGCAGGTGTCACTGCTGCAGGAGCTTTTGTCGGTGGCGCTCTCACCTCGATTCGTGAAGACAACAAAGGCGAGGGTGACTACGAGGATCACTCCAGGTGGTCCGAGGAGGCCCAAACTAGAGCTCACGAGAGAAGCCAACAAGGCACTGTTGCGCCAACTATGAGTGGTGGATTGCCGAGCCGTCCTGCAAATACAGTTAACAAGAACAAGAAGGTCGTTGCAATTGTTGTCTCCTCGGTTTCACCGGCTGAGTCCGACGAATTCCATTCTGAACATGCGGTAAGAAGTCCTTCCCCTTGATACCTACTTTGGGCCTTTCTGACAATCGCAGTCCATTTTATCTCATCTCCCTGAACATGTTGATCTGGAAAACTCCAAGATCTTTGTGTTGATCTATGCCCCAGATTTGAAACACGCCATCAAGAAGGGGGGCTCATCTCCCACCTCACCTTCTATGGCTTCGTCTTATTCGAACATTGGCACCGAAGAAGGAGCGTCTGTTGGGGAACTGGGCTCTGGAGAATTGACTGCAGTCGAGCCCCGCCAGGACGACGAATTGGAGGGCACATCTCGCCTTTTCCGAACGTTATACACACAGGCACAAGCACTTGTTGAGAAGGATAGCATGATCATGCCTTTCAGTACCCCTGGTGGCTATGTGCACCTCGCTCGCCACTTATTCCCAGAACTTGTTTATGTCCAAGAGTCCTTGACTGGAGATCAGGGTGAACCTGTCACTCAGCTCATTCGTTGGGTTCGCCAGGTTATCGTCGTGGTCGGAGACGAGGGTGGCCGTGGCGGCCTTATCGACAGTGACGACGAGTCGGCACTTGGCGAAAAGGGAGAGAAGTGGTGGCAAAAGCAAGGTGTCACAGGACTTGGCAAGAGTATTGATGTGGTTGACGTTGTCCGAGTCGGAGATGACTGGCGACGACGAGTGTGTGGTCTGGACTAGGTCAGATCAAGTCGCGGCCCTATGATTTTGATGTTGATATTTGTTTGGTTGTTTATACCTGTTTTTTCCTTCTGTTTTTTTTTTCTTTTAACCCCCCTTATGACTGACTGACCATATTCCCCTGTTTTCCCAAAGTCTTTGCTTTGATTTGATACGATTCATCTTTGACAGAAGAATGGATGCTTCTTTTGTCGCAAGTTCCGCCTATTTACAGCATAGATAACTCTCAGAATTAACTCACTTAGCTCTGACATGTGTAGCGTAGCATGGAATGCTTAGGCGCTAGCATGTTAAAGCTATTCAAGCATTGATTCATCCAACTATTCTATCGGTCTCATTGTATCTTATTGATTCATACGGAGTATACTCCGTACTAGTCCTAATTTGGAATGGGTCATGTGACCGACTTCACGTTGACCCACGCCTTGGCATCATCAGTTGACCTACCTCTGCAAGACCTCGTTCAGCGGCTTCTCCGATTCACCCCTTCCCAGCAGCATTATTGGTCGGGTGCTGTCTTTCTTTCATTCTTTAATCCCACTCGGTCAACCTCCGCCGATTTTCCGCATTGATTCCAGCTGTGCTGGGGACCGGTGCCGCCCTACCTATCCCCACATGTCTCGCGCATCGGCCATCTCATTCATTTCCCGAGCACGGCTTTCATTCAACATCATCGAACTAGCATCCCGATAAGTCGCATTCTTAACTTACTGGCCAAGCCGAGGTTGCGCAACCGGCGCAGACATGATGGCGACCGCAATTTCCAAACCCGCCTCCCATACCCAGAAGATGAAGCGGCCGCCCCCGCCTTTTGGCCAGGCCGCGGTCAACGGAGTCAAGGGCCAGCACCTCTCGTCTTCGCCCACATCCGCCGCAAAACGTCTTCCCCCGGGTGCCTCCGTCAACGCAAGTTCCAATTTCACAAATGGCGTGACCCATGGAGCGAGTTTCACCAATAAAGGCCCCCTTAATCGGACCAGGAATCAGTCGCAAAGACCGATAGATCAGTCCCCGCGCTCTGGCCGGCCAGTAACGAGGACCGCTGTAACAGATAATGCACACCGAGTTGGGAAAAAAGCACCTGAACCATATGGTAATGAGTTCTGTGACATTCGCAATGCCAATGCGCGACCACTGACTTTCTTGTTATAGTGAAAACTACATCCTACATCCTCAAGAAATATCCGAAATGCCCCCCATCCCTTATTGTGCATTTACATCCCACACATTTTCGATTCGAGCAGCAAGATGGTAGTTTCCCTTACAACTCTGAGATGAAGGTCATCATCGAGCACATTCGCGCCGGGACTGTTCCGCATGATCTGATCGAGGAGCTTCTGCGAGGCGGTGTGCAGTTCTATGAAGGTAGTCATCGGCTTTGACAGATAGTCCAACTACTTCCTGCTAACATTGTTAGGTTGCCTCATCGTCCGTGTCATTGATCACAAATCTGCTTCGGCGCAAGCGAGAAAAGTCTCGACGACCTCGTCCAATGAGAACAACACACCATTCTCTCTACACAACTACAACGAACATATTACTCCGTCGGCTTTTGTTCCGTACCCAAAGCAAAATCAGCTTACGTCGGCTACGCAAAACATCAAGGCCGATGCAACACCTGTTGCTAGTCAACAAACAGATAGCCCGGCGACTGGTGAGCAGACGGACGCAAACAACAGCAACACAAGCCAAAAGAATGCTCCCGTGAAGCCTCGAGTATTCACCACAGTACTCCATCCCACTGCCCGAACTTTGCAGGCAGAGTTGACACTGCTGGTCACCACTCCCGACCCGAGAGCCAACAAATCACCAGCCCAACCAAGCTCATCTGGTTCTTCAGCTACCCCTGGAAGCAGCCAACCAGATCGCGGACACGTCGCAAAGAGACAGAAAATGCTGGTTGAACCGGAGGATCTTTTGGAATGCGAATCTAAAATGGTCCAGGCATTGGCGCCGCCTCTCTTCTTGGATCCTGTGCATAGTTTTGAAGCATCCCAGGAGCTGTTCAAGCATCTGGAAAGCCCACTGCATTGCGACCCGCCGCCCTTGCCCAAACGCCGAAAGAGGACGGTTGCCGAACTTGCCGCAGACGAAGCCTTGGCAGCCGAAGAGGAGAGATTCATGCTCATCATGGACGAGCGCTTGGAGCCGACGGCTTCTGGTCCTGGCGGTGCTGCGAAGGCTGCTGCTGTGGATGATGCAGGCGGTGTGGCACCATTTGAACCTCGATTCTCTCGTTTCAAGACACTTGAAACGATTCGCATGCAACATGAGGAGAAGGCCAAACGTGAGCACGAAATGAAGCTGAAGCAGGAGCTGGCCAAGAGACAGCAGCAGGAGCAGGAGAGAGAGCGGCGCCGTGCGATCGAGCTGCGGCAAGCCGAAGAACATGCAAAAGAGGAATCGCGGAGACAACAACTCGCTGCCCAGCAAGCGCAGGCCCAACTCGCAGCGCAACAACAAAATCGCCATATTATGGCTCAGCCCAATGGCGTTAGCCAAGGGCAGCAGTCTTCGCCCATCGTACGTAACCAGACCCCACATACCACTTCATCACCACTGGTTGGTAACATTATGCCGCAGGCGGTTCCGATGACTATGACCGCATCTGGTTCTGGCAGTCCACCACGACCTCCATCAGCTTTGCAGCATGCGCATCCGAATGTTATGAGCCACCCGATGGCACCTTCAAGGAGTCAGCAAGGACCAAGCCGACATGGTACTCCGCAGATGACCCAGGGCACGCCGGCTATGTCGCATGCCACGCCAATTATGCGTAATGTTACGCCCACTCAGCGGATGGGTCACGGCAGTCCAACTCACTCAATGGGTCAAACTCCGGTGATGAATCAAGGCATGGCAGGTACGCCGCAAATGAACGGGGGCATGCCTTTCACACCGCAACAGCAGATGATGCTGCAACAACATCGACAGCAAGCGCTTCTTCAAGCGCAACAGCAAGGACATATTCAGCACAATCAGTTCACGCCTCAGCAGCTAGCCCAACTGCAAGCCAATGCTCACGCTCAACAAAACATACAATCCCATCAACAGCAAATGCTACAGCAGCAACAGCAGCAACAACAACAGCAGCAGCAACAGCAGCAACAGCAACAAAACCATCAAGGTGTTCCTAAAATTCCTCAACAAAGCCAACAAGTATATCAGGCTCAGCTTATGCGTGCTCAGTATGCGCAGATGCAAATGGCCAAGCAGCAGCAGCAAGGCCAGCACCCACAAATGCAGGGCCAGCAACAACAGCCACACCAAGGCAATCAGCAGTTAACACCCCAACAGCAGCAAATGCTGATGGTAGCTGCGCAGGCGAATGGTGGCCAAATGGGTCCAAACGGACAGCCCATGAATCAGGCACAGAGATACACTCAGCTCTACCAACAGCGACTGCTTCGCATGCGACATGATATGTCGACACGGTACATGTCTCAGTATGGCCCACCAAACCAGTACCCTTCAAATATTGCGCAGCAGTATGGTCCTGGGCTTGAAAAGACCGCCAAGGCGTGGGTCTCGGAGGTCATGCGACGTGAGCGGGATGGCGGACAGCAGCAGCAACAACAACAGCGGGCTGCGTTGCAAGCTCAGCAAATGCAAGCGCAGGGCTCGATGCACAGTATGGGTGGCATGAACAACTGAGGCTAGTCTTGGCTGGTGGCACTAATGTAACGTGGCAACATACGAGATTGAAGAACCTGCGAAGACAGAAGCTTTTTCACCTTTACAATTCTACCAGTGTAAAATCTGGCTCGAAGTCGATTTATGATGAGCATTTACTCAACGAGAGTGGGTCATTGGTTAACAACCGCCCACTGTCTCTTATCTTTGGCTTATTCTCGTTCGATTCTTTGCTCTTGTTTTTGTTTTTTGTTTTTTGTTTTTTGTTTTCTGTTTTTCTGAAAATCCCAGGATTTTGTATAGGGACCAGGCATCGTGGAGATTGGAGAGGACGGCGTTATTTTGCCATGGTTTTCTCCCTTATTCTGTTTTTCTTTTTTCTTTTTCTTTTCGATTGTATTATTTGGGGCGCGGCTTTCGGTGGGAATCCTGGGATTTATCAGCCTCGATACCATTCTGTACAGGAGTTATTTTGATATCACGACGCGACTATGGGTTTGGATTGCAAAGTGCATTGTGGAAATACCTCGAATTTGATAACACAAAATGCAAGAACTGGATTATGTTGGTTACTCTTTTATGCATTCGTAGGTGTGTGCAATATGCAATACTTAATTGGACTCGGGTGTACTTTGTTCTGCATGTCTACTGGTAGACACCTCGACTGATTCCAGCCAAGCACATCTCGAACATTGTTCTAACACCACGAAGCGTTCAATGTTGCTCTGAAACTCTACTCAAATAAATTCAAACTCCCAAGCAGGGAAAGAATAAAGCGGTGCACAATGAAAGTGATAAATTCTTTCTATATGAATAAAGTCTACGCAATACGGGATGTTCCAGATCTTCAATGGATGTTTGCCATCTCGGACGAACCGTAGGACAAAAATCTAGTACTCACTGGCTAGGGAAATAGTTAAATCTCCATTTCGATATAAGCACTTCTTCGGCGCGACCGCGGCCATAAAAGGGCCGGATCGCAATTTGACATCCGTGCTATAAGCTGCAAAGCTGTGTGGGAAAAGGGAAAGGCACGTGGTAAGGATTGTAAGTATTCAATTGGAGACATAAGGTATCAAAGCTATAAAAAAAAAAGGGGAGATATCAAGGACATCGTCAGTATGTATCAAGCAAAAAGAACCAATGGCCATCACTCCAGGGCTTCCTGAGACTGTTCTCTGGTCAATCATTACTCAGACTGTTGAGCTTGATATTTTTGAAACATTCATGGAGAAGTTCATGTCAAATAGAATTGAAGATCATCATAGTAAGGAGAGACCAGAGTTGTCTCGCAATGGAGAGGGTATATAAAGGCAATACTGAAGCCATTGACCAGAGGAAGACATTAATCCTCTGAGCAATGGCTTTTGCAAAGCTTGTTGGCGTGTTGTCGAGTGGCAGACAAAAGATGTCAGATGTTATGTGAAAGAGTTACGGAAAATTGCAGCGCTGAGTTTTTATATCGTGTGATTACATAAAAGATGTGTCAGCGCGGGCGGGTTAGTGTGTGACTAAGCTAGTTCCCCATTAGGAAAAGTATCAACAGCCGAGTATACCATTTCAAGGATGAATTGATGTGGAATTTTTGTGCCGTATGACTTTTCAAGTTCTATGCCTTGATAAATAAGAGAAGTGGATGTAATAAATTGAGCAATAATGGAAGATCGTGGCGTGGGGGGTCTAGACTATAAGACCGTTGACTTATTTTGGCTGGAGGACTCGGCCTGAAAAAAAGTACAAGAATGGCAATGAGGTCACCATGAATATGATGAAATTAAGCGAAATTAAACAATCTCAGCCAACGGCGATAAGGCAATGCGGGAAATCAGGCACCAGCGAAAAATATATCAACTGCCGTGGTGCCGTTAGGACCGCCACTTCGACTGAAGCTAGGGATAGAGATCGCCGCACATCATCCGTGGACCCAAGAAGCCGAGCGAATTAGAACAGCTAGAGGCCAGAGACCTCCACTGCTAAAAAAAAAAAAACCAGAATGGAGAGAATAATAATATTGGGGTTGCATCGCATACAAAACAAAGCATCCAGAAAAAAAAAATAACTCATTACCAAGACAACTCAATCTTAGAGCCTAGAACAAACTTCATTCACACTCTAATATCACATTCCAATGCATGTACAGAGTACTTTCAGTACAGTGAGTTGGATTGGTGTAGATCTGTGTAGCGTGTACTCCGTATGCGGGGCCAATTGAAAAGTTTTGCTCGCATATAGGCGCTGAAGTACTCCGTAGATTGACACTGCATTGGCATACTATTCCCCTCGGGTGCTGGAAGGTTCGTAATTATGTATGTGGTTATGCTGTTCCAAACTCTGTATAATGTCTCCTACATTTTGCCTCGGTATCCAAGTCCACACGCACAGACATACCATTGTGGTGTGTTATAATGGTGGTCGATTTTCTCTCTGGAATGCGATAAGAGGTACCATTGCATCGACAATGCCTTTGTTTTATCTTATACCGAATTGGGAAACATATCGTAGGGAAAAGAAAAGAGTTCGTCATCGCTGCAGTAAGATCTGTGAAAAGCAGATCCAACACGAAACTTTCACCGATTCGCGCACGCAATCTAGAAGGCAAATGAATACGGGGAAGGCAAAAATGCGGTATAAGGATCAATAACCTATTAGCGTGTGCATATCCAGAGATTAACCCTCACAAGTACTATTGTGCATAGTTGAAAAACAGAATACAAGGAATGGAAACCCGATAGGGTGGAAAGGGCGGATGGATATCATTCCCGTATATCGTGCCCATTAGGAGGGCCCGGACTCCCGTTCCCAATTTGTACGGCGTGGCATACACATAGTGCGGTGTAACAGGATACAAAATACATGCAGGGCATGGGTGTCGGGCTAATTTAACGTCGTGCCTAAACAGTCAACTCACCGCATAATCTCCCAAACAACCGGTGTAGCGGTGGAACTCTCCCTATTTGGAATGAGGATTTGGAATCTGGGATTGGGCGTAGAGAGAGTTGGGGAATACAGTTTGGGGTTAGTGAAATATCCCTGATATAGGAAAGTAAGTGTGAAGTTAGTATGTTGAATGATGGATGTTATACTTTTGTAGGGTGATAAAAATGAAAGCAAATAATGTTATATGCCGGTAGTGGATGTGCAGGATGAAAACTCTTACCAAGACCCTGGGTTGGACTTTGAAGAACGGTAAAGATATTCCATGCACCGATGATCATTAGTAAAAAAAAGCAAGTATTGACTTCGGCCGGAAGACTAAGGGATGTTTGTCATAGGACATTGGCCATTGTTCTTTTGTTCAGCGCTAACGGCCACGGAATTGGAATGAGGAATGGGCGAGGTGATACATGAAAAGCCACGGTGGCAAAGGTCCAGGCACGTAGGAGCGCGGCTCTTGACCGTGGGATCCTTGGCCCATGCAGCATGTACAAGGTAGCATGTTGAATTCTCTTCCCTTTTTGCTTTTTCTCATTCCCATCTCGTTTTCGTGCTTGCTTTTTTTTTTGCCTGCTCTCAGCTATTCTTAGAAATACGTTGGAGGAATTTTCCAAGGTTTGCAGAGTTTCACAAAAGAACAGATGAAATGGGGGGGTCCACATGGCTGTCTGATACATGCTACTGTACATGCTACTAGCGATGTTAGGTTGCGCTGTCGAAAGTGACGCAGGTCATGTGGTGGAGTATCGAGTCTTTCGTCCATTGTGGTTTGCAGTAGTGTTGCAGTACGTCTCATGGACACTGTGTTTCACATAAAGAGTACAGTAGTGTTCTGATAGTGGGTAAACAATAGCCGTAGCCGCGGTGAAAAGGTGGTGACATGGCTGTTTCTGACCAGGTGTGGTAAGCGTTAGAAGTGGAATGTGGAGAGTTTCCAGAGAGAGGCGAGTGGCAAAGTACTGTTTGACAATGCGAATGTCTACAGTAGCTCTGATTTGCTGCTTGATCCACTGGATCGACCAGATAGATCTGTTTGGAGAGATCCAGGAACTAAGAATCTAGAGCCCCGAGTATTGTGATGTGTAACATTTTAGTGCGCGTGGCTCAACCCCGAGATCAGGAACCGTGCGAGGAAATGGAGTTAGAATATTGTCACACGAGTTCAGCTCAATAGATCTTTTGAATTCTCAAAAGGGAGGGTGGTATACAGGACAGGGTGGAGGCAGTGCAACAATGTAGATCTCGATTTTTTGTATTATACTGTTGAGCGATAGTGGTACAAGCATAAATAGGAAAGTAAAAAGGAATAAAACAACACGTTGTAGCAGATTGTACACAATCACCCCGAACCCCTGAGGGCTTCCTCCCAAATAATTATCCCCAAGTTGGCGATCCCCCCCCCCCCCCCCCCAAACCAAATAGGGAAACATATGCAACGCCTGGTAGAATTCCATGTTCAGAAATAGGTAACCTCCCAGCCTTTGGCACCAAACAAATTATGCAAAAGAAAAGGAAATAAATAAATCAAAAAAAAGAGGACTCCTATCCTCCAGGAGACATGTACAACGCCAGCCAAGAAGTTCAATCCAGGCCCATAATGCCTCTTGCCATTTCAGGTCGATCCTCCAGAGACGGGGTATCAATAAGGGCCGATGAGGGCCACATTTTTGTTTTCTGTTTCTATAATTCCATATTTTCTTTTGCAAAAAAAAAAAAAAAGATTCGCGTGGAATTTGATTTTTTGGGCGTTATATTTTTTTTTTCGGGGGTTTTCGATTTTCGATTTTTTGCTTTTTTGTGTGATCGTGCGACTAATCATCCCAACCATCAACGCTCAGCTCTCCACAATCGGGCATGGCGTCTTCGAGTTTGCTTCCGTAGATAGGCCGGCCATCGGGAGTAAGTTGGCCGCGGAAATCGGGATCGAAATCTTGACTGGTCTCATCGAGGGTGGCGACGTAGCGGTTGCGTCCGCCCCGCTTACTGTGGGTCTTGGTGTAGTGGGCGTTGAGGTTATCACTGCGTGAGAACGCACGATGGCAACCGGGAACCCAGCACACATGGGGCTTCTCCTTGGAATGGCTCTTCATATGGCGCTTGAGATGCTCCTGACGCTTGAAGCGGCCCTTGCAGCCGGGCTCTTTGCACTTGAATTGAACTTGCTTAATGATTGAAGGCAAGTTCTCTAGGCTCAGATTGGAGCGGAGGAGTTGTTTTTTAGAAGATTTCCGCGAGGGCTGGCGATGGCGTTGAATCAATCCTTCGCGGTAGACAGGAGAGAGCTGGAACTCTTCCTGGTAATCGTTGTGTCCGGACATTCGACTCATTGGAGTATCGGATCCTGAGGGAGTACCCATGGAGACAGATCGGTGGGGGGTTGAAGGAGTGTGGGATTTGAAGGTAGGAATGTTGGTGGGGAAGTCGGAGTAAGAAGAAGAAGGAGGGGTCACGGGTCCTGAGGGGAATGGTTGGACCTGAGCAGGGGTAATGGTTTGAGGTACCAAGGACTCGTGGGATGGCATCCAGTGAATCATATTGGACATTGAAGCGGAGTTGGGAATCCGCTCAGTGGGCTGGTTAAAGATTGGACGAGACAAGCAAGGGTTTGAGGCCGATTCAGGCAGATATCCTGCCTGCTGAGGGCGGTGGTAGTAGTTGCGAGCCATCTGATTGTACTGAGGCATCGAGGCCTGGTAGGGAAACTGTTGATCCTGGTATGTCTTGGGAATGTCCTGAGGAATCCAGAGTTGGTCGACGTTCTCGTCGTATCCAGGAAGATAGTCGGGGAGGGGCATCTGCTCCTGTCGGTCCATGTTGCCGCAGGGCATATTCATCATGCCTTCACCTGACGTGAGATCAGCCATTCTAAATGCACTGCGCAATGGCGTAGCTGAAGTTCGACGCTCCATTGGGAGGGTGTGGTGATAATGGGAAGCTTCGTGCCACCCGGGGGAGGCCATTGAGCCTTGACTATAGAGACTAGTAGGCGTGGGAGTCGGAGAATCCAAAGGAGAAAAGCTCGAAGTCATCGAGGGGCATTCACTTGGGCCCAGAGAGCGGCAGTCAACTTCAACAGTCAAACGATCAGAGATTTGTTGTCCGTGAGATCTCATGTCGTCAATGTCCTCAGTTTTGAAAGGTCGGGATGCAGCTGGGTTGATTGTATCACCTGCCCAGAGCACTTTAGTAAGTTGTATTTCTTTTGGTTGATATTGTTTTTTGTGCTTTTTTGTTTGGGTGTAAGAAGGAAAGACAAAGTCAAGTTGATAAGTGGAACGAGGGTCGACAGTGAGGTCAAGGAAATTGAAAAGGCAACTATAAAAGAGAGGTAGGGATGGAAGATAGAGACAGAAAAAGGAAAGACAAGAGAATGTGTATTAGGTCCCGGAGTGTAGGGAAAAGGGAAAGAATGTGCAAAAGGATGAAGGGAATGGAGGACAAACGAGCAGAAATAAACAAATTGATCCAGCATAGAATCCCGAGGGGTGGAGATCGGACTTACAGCTATACGCCATGGTCTAAGCTCAGATTCGAAGTTTAGACCAAAATTAGAGGCGCGTCGCGTGCTTGAGGTTCAAAGCAAGGCTAGGAATGTAGACTATATCCTCCGTTACCGCGGCAAAGGCTGTAACGGCTGGATCTGGATTGTGATCGACTGAAGTTCCTCGAGGCTTGCAGATTTGGTCGCGATGTTTCGCGATGTTCCGCGTCAAATTAGAGTGAAATTGCCAAACTTGGACAATAAGATGGGCTGGTATGGAGCACCAAGAACAAGGTAGGTGAAATATTGGTGTCAGAAGCCCTTTGACGCGGTTTAAGTTGGAAGGCTGAAGGGTTGAAGGGGAGGTCGGGGTCTCAGATTGATAGGTTGGTATAGGTAGGGGGGTTTTTGTATATGTGTGTATGTGTTGGAGGGGAGGGGAGATTATAACAGCAAGGAGTGTGTGTCTTAAAGAGTAGGAAAATACAGAAGGTAAGTGAGAAAGCAATGATCCACGGGGGGGAAGCTTGTTCCTGGTACCTTTTTGGGCTGAAGGTGCTGATTGAGAGACCTCTAGGGCTTTTTGGATCGGCGGATTGTCATCCCTCACCTTTTTCTTTTTCTTTTATTATTTTTATTTCATTATATTTTTTATTCTATTAATGATATTTTTAAATGGTATTAATAGTATTAATAGGATTATAATGGGATTAATGATATTCATATTCATATTTAAATATCAGAATATTAGAATATCTCCATAATACGTCTATAATATATCCTCAATATATCTTTTTGAAATTCCTCTTTTTTTTTGTTTTCAGACCCAGTATTCTGGTTATTATCTAGTATATAATTCCCCATTTAAATCTTTTTAACCTATATATTATCCTAGGATATTTATTTCCTCTCAATTCTTCTCCACCAATCCTATCCAATACTGAAGTATGCTCTCTGTACTCCATTGGAATGTCTACCCTCTTAGGTTCCGCAAAATGTGAGCAGAGTCTATTTGGACATGCAGGACGATCGACTCCCCGGACTTTCTGGGTCGATCAACAATCTGAGACCCTGATCTGTGGGATTCTCCACTTAGGTTTCAAGAGGTAAATCTCGCTGAATAATTCATCCCCAATGTATAATCACTGGTTCTTCCGTATGAAATATAAGAAGATATCAAATATTCAAAATATAGAGCTAGAGACCAAAAAAAAAATGAATGAAAGTAAAAATATGATCTCGCTCGGACGTACATAGAGGCTTGGGATCGATCTCATGTACTTTTGCGATAGGTCGTTAAAGGTCTGTGCGAACCCGGTTGACGCTGCAGGATCTCCCGGAGAGTAGCAATCTCGGATTCCAGGGCTTGCTATTACATTCCCCTATTTCTCCGCCATTCTACTTGCCTGGGGTATCATTGTCAAGTTATGGATCGTCCTTTTCTTTTTTTTCCTTTTTCATTATCAAAATCATAAGTCGACTATATTTCATACTGCCTTTTCCTAGTTGAGTCTAGTCTACTTTTTATACTCCCCATCGGCTCTACATTTGAACTCCGTAGGCGGTACATACCCTCTTCCCTATAGGCCCTGACAAATGCACTTCAGACCTCATTGGAATGTGAGCAAAAGAAAAAGCAAACCACAAGCTTCGGGGAACAATTAACATCCATCCCGCTGGGTCTCAGAAAGAAAAATAAAAATAAAAAAAGCCACTTATCCGCCCCAACGGTTCGGATAGTATCGACCCCGAGCTGGCACTTGCGTCTGATCCATCACGCGTCAGTTGAGACCCGAATGATGGAATTGTCCTTTCCAGTTAGATAATGCTGGACTTGTTTTGCTTCCAACCTGCGTGGCTAAACAGTCAGAGGCAAAAGTTTCGCATTCTTCTTTGATCGTTCGTTCCACGTCGTGGCCACTTTGAAACATGTCCCCGTCCAGATGGCGATCGGCCTCGAATGTTTGTCTCCGCTGCAGGCGCGCGAAATCGCAACTGGTTGTCCATATTAATAATATAATTTTGTTTTTTTTTTTTTTTTTACTGTTCACCTGTGTATCACATTGCACTTGCATGGCCCCAGTGGATCAAGATGAAATAGGGCTTTTATCCAGTATATTAGGGTTAATGATAGAGTATCTGGTCTGGACCATAAGGCTAGGATCTTCCTTTCCTGATTCAGAAAGGAAATATCCAAGTTCATATTTGACAGTTTATTTTGACAGTATCTAGGTAAGATTAGGTTTGAACTTGGACCGAATGGGTGGGATTGCTCTTCGATCTGGTCACTGGTGACTCTTTCTATCGGCCCCTCTTTTTGTCGATCGCTTTCGCTTTCGGCCCGATCTGTGCTCGATCCGTGCTCGATCTGTCCCCCAAGGCTATATTCTAAGGCTCTGTGTCTACTGTCAGATCTAGCCTTAAGCCCCCGCTGCAATTCCCTCTATTTCTTGCATCTTAATTATCTCTTAATTATCTCAATTGATACCTGCATAGCTACCCGAGTCCCATGAGCTCAAAAACCGGTTTGACATTCTTCAAGCCCTATTAATCAAATGCATCTCTTCCTGCACATTGTTCAAGACTATTGTACTTTGTTGAATCCCGAAACCCTAAACCACAAATCCAAACAGAAAACAAGGGAAGAGTTATTCCATAGATTCTCCGACTTTTATTTTTTTTAAGTTTCCCCGATCTCCAACCCGAAGTCATATCTAAAGTACCCATTCAACCTTAAACCCTCGGAATATATACATATACAAATGTACGATATAGACTTTGGATGTCTGCTATCTGTCAATAGAGAGAGAATCTAAACTCCTTATCTGGACTTCCTAATTAATTTCCTAACGCCTGGACCTGATCGCAGCAAGGGCAAATCCCGACCCCAAAAAAAAACCAATGGCTATTCCCCCAGATCCTTTGGCCCCTGCGTCTGAAGGGATATCTTTCACCTACGTACATGGCTTCCCTTTCACCACGAACACAACAAATAAATCTTCATGTTCTGGTTTTAGATGCTAGAGATCATTATCACTTAATACACATTTTATTGCAGTTTGGTCCGTCCTCAGATTGAACCGGGGTCCATACTTTAAACCCCGAGGCCAACACCGACCACCTAATCCACCCAAATGCCGTGATCATCTATGCGGGAAGGGTTCGATATTGTCTTTGCTTTCGTCACATCGAGTAGTGCCTTAGCCTACTCGGTTGCGCCACTCCGATCTCTGGTGGCGTTACGGATGAAGTGTGGCTTATCTGGGGTGATCTTCACGCGCCCGAGATTCTGTACATTCCTCCTCCCTTCTCTCCTTATGTCTACGAGATTTACATGGATCTACAATAGTCAAATCGCCACCGCTGGTGAGTGCGGAATTTTTGTCTTTCGTACTTTTGATGGGCCTCGTGGATGGGGACTCATCGAGGACCTCTGCGATGTATAATCCCCTGTTGATCGCATATCTTGGTTTCAAATCTGTGCCAGAGGTGGCGACTGAGACAGACAATCGCTTTGCAAAGCAGTTGTCCGCTTGTGGCACAATCACATAGTATAAGCTTACGTACCCTCGTAGATTGACTTCGTACTACGGAGTAGAGACCAAACTATATCATACCTCAAGAACAAACCAAAACAAAAACAAACACAAAAAGATAGATGAGTCAATACGCACAGGCCAAATCTCGAATGAGCAAACCTTATCTGGGCTTGAGAATATGGCTGCATTAGCACGATTTCTCGCTCTCAGGTACCAGGTACTCGGAAAACAAAAATAGAGCTATCAACTTTCTACCCTGCCCAGATTTCTCCCCCCCCCCCCCCCGTTTGTCGAAGGCCAAAGGGCTGCGCTAAGACTCGGAGCTTAGACTGCAGCCAAAGTAGCCTAGATAGCTCATGATCGACAAGACATGCAAGCCTCCCTCTTAACGCCATGACAGCAAATTTGGCCGCCCTATCATATATTGCCGTGAGTTTTGACCGTATTTACAAATAGTTGACAGTCTATGTAACTTACCCAATCGTGGCCCAACATACCTGACTATATATTCCTACTACCTACTATTATGGTATCTGGCTAGCCAGTGGTTAATGATTGATACTGACATTCTTCGGTATGTAGAGCAGCTCCCCCGGTTGTGTAACCGTTCTGGCTGCAGATGCTGCAGGTCCGTTAAGTGCTAATGACGCAACTGTGAATGTTCATTATTTGGCGTTAACGGTGAAGCTTTCATTGCGAATTATGGATTCATATCAATACTTTAACGTAGGTTCCATATGAAGTTTCCAATAAAGGCTAACATGACCATGTCTTGAAGCCAAAGCGCCTGACTCGCATGGCCGGGGACCATGTTCGGGGACCTGTCGGGGGTGAATTTAAATGTTGAAATGTGTTTTTCGGTGTCTTTCGATAAAAACCTCGGACCGATCGGCCAATAGAAATAGAAGTAAAGTCAGAGGTCCGATCATTTTATTGGTGACTTCTGAGAGCTTTCTTAATTTGGTATTTGCTAGCAGTATGGGTTCCAAGGAAATGAAACAAGCATCGTAGAATTGGTAAACTGACAATGTTTTATTTGAAAGATTCGGCATTTGGACCAAATGATGCAGGGACGAAGTTGAGCGGCCTATAGGAAGCAAGCATCAGAGATCGAGGCTGCAAAAGTGATCAATAGTACACAAAATAACGTACAGCCGGGATTATGCACCACTCCTAAACTGGTACCTGGTCGTCTCTCAATCACTCTGTCTCCTAGTGGGCTTCCCGTTTATCCCCGCCTACCCCCTTGCTTGTTGACTTGCTTTTTTTTCTTTTTTTCTCAACGGCTTCTCGTTAAGAAAGGCATTCAAATAATAAAAATTGATTGGCTTTCTTTTTTTTATTCCATTTTCCCGTGAATGAATAACTCCACGTTGACTTACATTGCATTGCATAGACTTGCTCCCGGTTTCCAGGAACAAACTCCATTGTGGCGAAAGTCTATGGTGCCAATGCCCTAAGGGGGCCTATGATCTGCTCTGTTTATGTATTCTTG